GCTTATTATTTGTCAGGCATGATGCATGTTTTAATTATGGCCATATTTTAAAAGAAGTATTTTTATTTAATCTATGGATGATATATCCTGGAAAGCTTTGATAATAAATTAAATATTTGTTCATATAGATGGACGATACAGTTCAGCTTAATTCTCTCACACACACGCTTCCTAAAACTTGTCTTCCAGTACTGTCATGTTTAAAGCGACGTGTCCATTAAGCGCTGTACTTTTCTGGAGCGGGAAGGGTTACTGACATCACCATTATCAAGGCCGGCATTACCACTTCTGTCACCACCATAAGCCATTCGCTATGCTGATTACCTCCTTTTAGCCTACTTACTCTGATTGATATGTACTGTGTGCAGGACTTGTAAGAGCATTCGCTTTCACTCAGTTTTTACTAATTAAATCAACGGTGCGTGAATGTTAAGAATTTCTTCAAAATGCAAAAATAAAATCAATTTCCAAGCCTTTTTTTTTCTTCCCTTTTTTTTTGGTCACAGTGGTTAATGAATGGATATGATTTGTTTTAGCACCTCCCTTTGACCTGAGCGTGTTGTCTCCCCGCAGAACGCCGTTCGCCACAACCTCAGCCTGCACAAGTGCTTCGTGCGCGTGGAGAACGTGAAGGGGGCGGTGTGGACGGTAGATGAGATGGAGTACCAGAAACGCAGGTCGCAGAAGATCACAGGGTACGAATTCAGCCGCCTCTCCTCCGGTCGATGGTTTTATCCTATTTTTATTGTTGACAACTAACTTGTTGTCGTTTCGTTTAGAAGCCCGTCTCTTGTCAAGAACCTGCCCTCCAGTCTTGGTTATGGAACTGCACTAAACGCCAGCTTACAGGTACGAACACAGCGCTTCYGAGAACGAGTCGCTGAACTGGGTGTGACTTCTTTGCACAAAAGAACTCCATATTAGAAAAAGCCGAAGCACTTTTTTTTTTCTTTCTCGTTCACGTCACAGCCTTCGTTTCCTCTCTCCTCTCACACCTTCCTCGGCCACCTTCAGACTCACAAGGCCACCCTGTGGTTGAACCTAGAAGGAACTCTTATTTGCTTCTTTTCCCTCTCAGTCGTGGCAGCCGCCCCCCCCCTCCCCAGATTGATTGTGGCATGTGCAAATGCAAGGGCATGTGCATTAATATTTATCTAAGCTGTCATAAATGATTTGGCTTCATAGTGTACACCACCGAGGTGCTCATGGCAAAAACTTTAAAAATTTAATCAGTGTATATAACTTTAATGCGCAGCAGGCGAAAGTGTCAGGAGTTTTTATTATTTTGAGGTAAAGTTTTCAGGAACCTTTTCATTTTTTATTTATTTATATAAATGTAGCCACTCCACACAAAGGCGTATGAGTGGCAGTTAGTGGGAAGTMATCTGCGAGGTTCCGTTTGGGGGGAAAATTACTTGCAACAGAATAAGACTAGGGTGTTGTATTTTAATAATAACTTTGTTAAAACATAYCATTCACTSARATATCTCTGTTTYGCTCCTCATGCTGCCTCCAAACCACCAAAATCACCTCTGTGCAGCCGTTTATCCTAACTTCTTCTGTTTTTACGCTCTCACATCCTCCCTCGGCCCTTACCCAAATGTTCCTCCTTTTCTAACGGCTACATTCCTCTCGTTCTTCACCGTCCTCTTCATCAGCTCCCACATTCACACGCTCGTGACATCATTCCCTGTCTTTGTCGTTCTCCCGCAGGCCGCCTTGGCGGAGACCTCCCTGCCTCTGCTGGGGACCCCCGGGCTCATGAGCAGCGCCGCGGGCCCGATGGGAGGCAACTGCCACGGCCTCCTGGGCGGAGACCCGTCCGTACCGACCGGAGGGAGCCCGCCTGGACTTTTGGGCGGCAGTCCGCCCGGCTTGCTGGGCATCAGCCCTCCCGGTACGCTCAGCGGCAGCCCCCCCATCATGTTGCACTCGGCCCACGACGAGCTCAACGGCTCACTCGACCACCTGGACACCAACGGACACAGCAGCCCCGGATACTCCCCTCCTGTACACATGTAAGCCCCGCCCATCARTTTACACCTGAAATCTTCACCTGTTCTGTCAAATATAATAAATATTAACGTCAGTCTATAAATCATTTTCATAATAACCGACCTTATTGGTCACATGTCTGCTTTTATGAGGAAAAATTCAGCTTTTCGAGATGAAAGCTTTTCACCCGACAACAATGTGTAGAAACGTTTCAATAACGTAACGACAATATGATCTTTTCACCTCCCAGCTCTTGTAAGTTTTCACGAGATAACTCAAACACGAGCTGTTGAAACCAAAATCACTCCTTTGATCTGAGAAGTCACCTAAACTGTTTGACATTTAACTAAAGCTATCAGTATTTTTTCAGTTAGCACTGACCTGAGGGCACAGCTCAATTTCCAGCCTGTTTAGGGTTAATTTTCTCTTCCTGTTCCTGATTATGTCATTTCTTTTTATACTGGTTATACTATAGGAGACAGCTGCAGCCTTTAAATCAACTTGTGCATTTTAGCAGTTTATCTAATATGTTTTATGCAAAACTTTTCTTATTAATATTTAGCGAGTGTAGCATTAATTACTTTAAACATTTGATAAAGTGTGTTTTAAAGACTAATCGTGTGTGACTTTCAGGAACAGCTAAGCCAGGGGAGGCAACACWTTTGAAACGCTTTAATAATTCTCATCCTGCTGTCCGTCAAAGCTCACACGACATAAGTTGACCACTTCTGGAGTRGATAAAGGATGCATTCCAGGCCTGTGAGCCTAAAAATATTCATGAGAATAAAAGAGTGTTTGCTTTATCCCACCCAGAGCACATTAATAAGCTTGGACGTGTTTACTCCTCTCGGAAACAGAGCGGTAAGTGGAGCAAACCTGCCCAGCACCAGACAGAATCCCAGCGTTGCCACTCCCGAAGCTCATTTAATTTTCAGTAACAGGACAGCAAAGAGTTGTTCTGTTTCCTCCCGCCGGCCCGACGCTGACACGAGCTGCTGCAGAGGACGAGGCGCACCCAGCCGTCCCTCACGCAGTCCGCGACAACCTYGAAATGGAAGAAATGTGTTTTCCCGCGACTGCCTTTCGCAGCGTGCGTTTAAATAATAGAGCGGCTTGTAGCGCTAAACGAGATCGCACGTCACCTCCAGGACCCGTCTGAGGAGGAGTCGGGTCCATTCAACAGCTCTACAAACCTCTTCTTGCCCTAAATGTCTAAAGGTTAATGATATCTGCTTAACCACAGACCAGCTCGCCCTGGGCYATGCTGACTCGGCGTGCACTTGAGTGTGTGTGAGTGTGTGTGTGGAACACACTCATGTACACCCTAAGGGGTTATGCTTAAATGAAGTAGTAGCAGTAAGACTTAAAATCACAATTAGAGTTCCCAACTTAAAACAGCTCCTTTTACTAGTTGCAAAAAAATAAAAATCATTTCACTATTTTATGGGTTAGAAACCATCCCTGTTTGGTGTTTTTGTGGTATGAAAGTCCCCACCGTCACTTCACCATCAGACCCCCGGACTAATGACCTTATTTGCATCCCCYGACTTAACCTCTGCGCGACCGCCGGCGCTAATCTGCGTTTGATGTGAGCGCCGGCTCCTCCGCCGCACATCCACACGCAGCGCCACCTATTTATTACGCCACGTTCAGCCCGGCCTTTACTCCTGAGTGACTCCGTAATGGCAGCCGGCCATTAGGCACTAAATGACTCGTCCATGTTTTTTAATAAAGTGGTGGAAATCTGAATTGCRGCGGCGCGTATTTTTCTTCTGAGCCTCGCAAACAACCTAATGAGCTAAATATTAAAAGCAGGGGGGGTGCTGAGGATCTTTTTTTTTTTTTACAAAACAAGCTTTATTGTGCAAACCCTCAGTTGTAGCAGTGAGCAGCTATGGCTAATTTACATAACATTTCCTATTGTAAAGTATTTAAACACAAAATGTGTTTCATTAACTGTCATTAGTTTTAACTTGTCTGGGCACTGATCAGTCCARGCTGTGACGGTTCAGGTTTAAAGCCTAAGCATAGTAAATATATCGTAGATAAAGTGTTTAGAGTGCCCCCACCCYCTGTAAATCTGAGGGACAGAAACAGAAATATTCATCGTCCCGCTCAGATCAGCTTCCTCTTCTCATCCCACCACATCAGAATATTAATTTACAGTGTTTGGCTCTAAATATTAAAGTCATCTGTACCTTTTAAAAATTCTTTTCAAATCTAAAGCCCCCCCTTCTCTTTCTTGCACTGATGAAGGCGGCCCAGGAGAGGCGCATCCTAACGTACTACCACTTGATAAGTCTCCCTCTCCTCTTCCCGAGTCTTGGGGGATTTTCTGATGCATCCGACGTGTCAGAAATAATTAGGTTTTGTCAGATTTATCATCGTTGCACAAACCCTCCTCCCCGACTCGAGCCCCCGGATCATGTTATGCCTTGTTTGTGTGTGACAGCATTATTATTCTTGTTAGCTGCCCAACACTTCTTTTTTTTTTTTTTTTTTGGTTCCTCCTTCCACTCTGTTGTTCTGGAAGGAGCGGCGTCCGGTGAGCTGCTTCCTGCTCCGCCGCTTATTGACAGTGGCTAAAGATATTCATCCATTTAGAGTTAAAAACATGTATCATGGTGTCCGAGTGAACTGCCGGGGCTGAAGTTGATTAATGGCAGAACCTAGCTGCCGGTTTTTCCTCTTGAGGAGCGACATGCACAGCTTCTGCATATTAACGAGTGGCTGCGCTTTCTATTAACTAGATAAAAAAGCCTCTCCTCTGCCTTTGCTCCAGGGGGCTCAGGGATGAGAAATTCTCCATTATTTATCATGTGGCCTGTTTTTTTTTACCCCCCTTTTTTTTTYCCCTTTTTCATGTATTTCAACCTGGTGTCATCAGTAAACTTTTAAATGCCAAACATGTCTGGAACATCACAGTTCCCGTCATGCAGTTTTCATGTGCTTACTTACAGTAGACGTGAGGCATCATGTTGAATTAGCGTCTTGCAAACAACACGGTTGTTACTTTCAAGCCATGATACACGTCAGGCGTGTTTTTTTTTTTAACAGGATGTGCATCTCAGTGCAGTAAAACATACTGTTTTATTTACTAGTGTTACTACAATGCCACAATTTAAAGTTTCTTTTTGCACCAATCGGACGTTTTTCAGCCACTTAAACACATAAAGGCCAATAAAAAGCCAAAAAAAAAAAAAAATTAATGATTTGTAAATGTGATTTTTCGAATTTTTTTTTTTTAGGCCACCTGTTCATGTGAAGGAGGAGCCGCTTAATATGGATGACGACGACTGTCCGATGTCACTTGTGACGACAGCCAATCACAGTCCGGAGCTGGAGGACGACCGGGAGCTGGAGGAAGGGAACCTATCAGAAGACCTGGAGTGAGGGGAAAAAGACAGCTTTTTTCTTTTCTTTTTTTTCTTTTTTTTTTTCTTTTTTGGGGTCGTTTCCCTTCAAACCAACCGCACTGTTTCTCTCACACAGACCTGCAAAACTAAAAAAAATCACTCCAAAAAAAAAAAACAACCACAGCTCTTTATCTGTCACCACTGGGACTATTTATTGAGCATGTATCCGGATAGAGACCAATCCAAAGGAACTCTTTGTTGCAGAGCTTTGGGATTCCCAAACATGACAGACATGAGATGTCTGTCGTAAAGGAAACAAAAGAAGAAACTCTCTGAGACCTGCTATATTTGAGGTGGCGTGGCCACGTAACAGTACAAGGACGATGAACTCATGGATCGTTGGGGGGTACAAACATGAGACAAATAAGCAAATCATGTTCTGTTGAAAGCTAGCGGCCTCATATACTGCCAAAAAGGAAGACATTTTATGTTTGTGAATAATCCAACCCACAGTAGTTGTTATTGTCTAGAGACAATTGCTGGTTCAATTCAAGTTGTTGCTCTGTTATCATTTGCACAGGAGTAGTCTCAGAAAATTGTGTCACTGCCTGTATGTTGCTATTATTATTATTATTAATATTATTAAAATCAGTGTATCAATTTTAGCTTTTTTTTATTTTTCATTCCCAAATATGATTTCTATTTTTAGACACCACCAACTGTAAATGCCATTCCCCGAATCACACCAGTAACCAAATTGCGATACCAAGACTGTTGCAACTGTCCAAATAACAAAACAAAACAAACAAAAATCAGTGTATCAATTTTAGCTTTTTTTTATTTTTCATTCCCAAATATGATTTCTATTTTTAGACACCACCAACTGTAAATGCCATTCCCTGAATCACACCAGTAACCAAATTGCGATACCAAGACTGTTGCAACTGTCCAAATAACAAAACAAAACAAACAAAAAAAAAAAAACAGAAAAAAGTTGGCTTCCAGTCTTATCTGTTTGTGATTATAAAAGTTTTTTAAAAAAGTACTGGAAACTGAGGAAACAATGACCATTTTACAAAACAAATGCATTTCTGCTTATTGTCCTTTCTTGCTCTTCTTACCTCGGCGTTTTAAAGCTTTGTCTACCTGCAAACAGTCACAGGCAACAGCTAGAAACCAAAGCCAACACTAGCAATGGCCAATAGCTTACAAACAGAAGCCGCCAAACTCCTTTTGGTCCGCCTTCTGTGACTTTAAACTAGTTCAAAGAGAAGCTTTTGTTCCGCAGACTACCTTGGATTAACCTCTGGGATTGTTTCACTTAGCCCTATACAAAGATGAGAAGAAGAGAGCAGAAATAAATGCTGATTTTATTCTTGTTTTTCTTTTGTCGTGTGTAATTTGAGAGCTGCGAAAATGTCCACATTGGTGATCTTCTGCCAGGCGTACTGTGGACCGTAACCAAAACGTTCAGTAGAAGTGCAGAAACATTGTGTTGTCGTGACCTTTATCCTCCTTTTTATGTAGCGTTTGTTTCGCCACACGCACCTGGAGTTGTTTTTCTTTTTTATTTATTTTTTTCTGTCCGTGTTCCGTTTGCTTTGAAGCCTGCGTGTTGCTTTTAGGTGGGGACCGTCACGTCTTTTACTTCCGCGGCGGCTTGCTTTCCTGAGCCGCGTCAAAACTGAAAACGTTGCTAACCAAACATGAAAAAATATCTAGTGAAGCCAAATAAGTCATAATTTCAAGGTAATATGAAATGATGTGGCTTGGTTACCACGAAGAAAGAAAAAAAAAGCAAACAGTAAGAGCCATTTCAGAAAGAGGATATTAAAGGTGAAAGGTGACCTTTTCTAGGTGATATTTGCTTTAATTTAAATCCTCAACATGTGGGGTGGGGGTCACGGTTTCTGAACTATATAGATACAAGTGGTGTTCCACACTGATGAACCAGCTTTTTCTATTGGATTCAGACTTTAGTGGAAACTGCGTCCCATAGTTTTCCTCTCAGATCGTCATCTAGATAAGAGTTGTTGCTTTAACGGTCATTTCTGTTTTCAGTAAACCAAAGTTACACAAAATTCTGCCTCCTCTTGTATGGGATAAAGGAAAAAAAAAACACCTATGTCAGACTCTATGACACACACACACACATTTTCTCTCACGCTTTGTTTCCCGTCCGCAGAAAAAAAATGGATGCTGTCGAAGAACCGACGTGGCGTTTGTGTCGCGCTTTAACGAGCAACGCGTCCGCCCGCTCTGACCAAAACGGAGACACACTGTGCTTATGTTGTTTTTCTAGCCGTGAGGCCGAAAGCCCCCAGGAAAACAAAAACAAAACAAAAAAAAAAGCTGGACGCACAGACACGTGAAGTACTGTACAAACACACACACACACGTCGAGAGAGGAGCACAGGAACAAAACGCTTATTATCCCTTCAATACTGAGCTGGAGTCAGCAAAACGACTTGAAGACGACGTTCCTAATAAACTTATCTCACCAAATAAAAAGGACAGGCGTCTTCAAAAAAAAAAAAGAGGGTTCTCCCACTTACCCAAAAAGGCTTTCTAAAAGCTTCTACCTCTGCACAACCAATTCAGAACAATTAAACCAGATTGCACGAGAATGTCACGAGCGGTTACATTTTCCTACGCTTTGGCTCCAACCAACGTTTACATTCCCTGCGTATACGGAGGATTTGCATTGTAATGGGTTGTCCGCAAACGTTTGTAGAATGATAATGTATAGATTACCTGTAAGGGAATATTGTGTTTTAAAAATGCATGTCAAAATATAAAAATAAAAAAGTCATTTGGTGGACTGGAAAGAAGAAAAACAACAACAAAAAAAAAAAACAAAGGACTTAATAAAAAGGGAATCTTCAAACTGATCGGAACGAAGGCCTAAATGCATCCGAGTGCATTACCTCAGAGGGGAAAAAAACCTGTCAGCCACACAGAATGCATATTACCTGTAGATTTGCATGGGTTTTGTATAAATTAAGTTAAACAAAAAGTCTAAAATAGTTGCTTGCACATAATACCAGAAAGACCTCCAGAACTTGCGATCTGCTCCTCCCACTAGATTTTAGGATTGTCTGGATTTTTTCTGGGTTGATTTTTGTCTGTATTTTGATAACTGTGCATACTTATGTAAAAAGAAAAGGAAAAAAAAAAGAAGAAAAAAAAATCTAAAAAATAAAATAAAAATAAAAAATGTTGGTGGACCCATAAATTTACAAGACTTTTTTTCTAAGAGGAAAACAAAGGAAAAAAAAAAGCTAACTCTGTGTTTCTTTTCTGACTTACCTGAATTTTTACTGTTTCTCTCTCATTGCTCGCTAAGAATAGCAAAAAACCTGCTTTTTTCTGCATCTGCTTTGCGTAGCTGTAAGGCCTAACCTAATGTGTGTATTTATTGCTTGTACCTCTGTGCATACTTTATGAAGCATTATGTCTGGCAGTTGAGTCATGTATCCTTTCTACTGCTATCCTTCTCCGAGAATTGAGAATATGATCCCCCTATGTATACAGTAAATTGGGACTGTAGCAAACATATGTTTATGTAAATGGTGATTAATTTTTTTTTGTTTTTTTTATTGTTTTAATTTCCTTTCGATCGAGGCTCAATGACTTTTTTTGATACTTCTCATTACTGTGTACTGTGTCCATATGTTAAAGGTTCTCTGACATTAGAAGGTCATGGTTGAGAATTGTAACAGACATTATTTTCTGTATTCATGGCATTTCACTGCTGAATAAAATAAAGGACCAAAACTTGGAATTTGAAAAAAAAAAAAAAAAAAAAGCAGCTGTCTACCACGAGCACCGGAGAGCAAATTATTTCCCTCACCCCCTCCCTCCGCTGTTACACATCTATTTTTTATCCTACAAAGGCGCAGCCATGAAAATCTAGCTGGCATTACACTTTAAAGGTTTCAGGAGCTGCTACTTCTGAGATGTGATGGAAAGAGTTTGAAAAAAAAAACAATTAAAATTTAATGTCTATGTTACAAGCTTTTTTTTTTTTTTCCTAGCAGTCTTGTTTAGAAGAGCGGGACAAGGAGATGCATTGCCCGCCCCTCTGGACCTGTAATGGGTTTAGCCTTCATGTTCCGCAAAACGTGTCCCAGTTTACACAGAACCGCTGCTGTGGACTTTAAAAAGGCTTTTGCAAAAAAAAAAAGTGACTAACCCAACTTAAGTTTGTTCTCACCATTTAGGTTCTGCGTCGTCCCCGAAGTCGAGACGTGGCGAGCTTAAATATCGTCGTTTTCAAGAGGTAACGAGCTGAGCTTTTTATTATTGTGTGATGTTAACGTTAGCTTAATTAGCCTCTTTAAATTGTCACTAGGTGTGAGTGTAAGTGGGAATGATTATCACCTATGTGGTCCTATGATGGACTGGTGATCCACCACCAGTGGAACCCCTCCTGCCCAAGGACCGCCCACAGCCCCTGAACAGGTAAAGAACYAAAGTACTGTAGTTCTGGATCAGACTGGTCCTCATTCCTAGACTTGTCAATGAAAACTCAGCTGAAACTTTTTGGTCTTATCAAGATCATTTCAAGACGAAAGCGGTTTTACGTTGATATAACTGAATATACAAGCCTTGAGAAAATAATTTTTGTTATCTCAAGATAATGTGAAATGTTCATGCTGACGTTTGTGCAGCAAAGGTGGAGATTAGAGAAAAATCAACCTGTTTATCAAGGAAACAGACCCATTAAAGGGATCCCTAATTAGTTGTAACATTAGACTTTATTTGATAAACATTTACTTTAACTGTAAAATAAAGACTGTTAAAAATACAGTAGTTTTGTAAATTTTAAAAAAAAATACATTTAAAGACGGACGGAGCCATTTTATTTAGACACAAAGCATTCTGGGTAAATGATGACGTGGATAGGTCCTCGGTGTGCGCGAGCTATATCCGCCCTGAAGGTTAATCTTGGACAATATCTGACGATCGACTCTTTTAAATGAAACCAGAGAGCGTTGACAGAGAGGAGAAGGTAGAAATGACTCAGCCTGGAACTGAAAATATGGATGGAGGACAACAGAGCTGCTTCATGGAAGAAGAACCTCAGCTTAGCCTGTTAGCTTTTGTGCTAGCGCCGACGCTATATTGCCTTATATGTATTATCTCAGCTCTAGCKTGACWAACAAGCTAAACTGAGGTCCTCCATCCATATTTTCAGTTSCAGGCTGAGTCATTTCTACCTTCTCCTCTCTGTCAACGCTCTCTGGTTTCATTTAAAAGAGTCRATCRTCAGATATTGTCCAAGAGTAACCTTCAGGGTGGATATAGCTCACTAGCAGCCTCGCACCGAGGAACTAGCCACGTCATCATTTACTTGCTTTGTGTGTAAATAAAATGGCCCTGTCCGTGTAATATATTTTAAAACTTTGTTTTAAAATAACAAAAACTGAACCTCCTACAGTATATTTAAAATCTTTATTTTACAGTTAAAATGCATGCTTATTTAAAAAAGGTCTAATGTTATAACTAAACATGGATCCATGGATGGATTATCCTGATAATTTCAAGATTAAAAAAACAGTCAATTAAGGATTCTGAGAAAATGGCATCAAAATTAAAAATTGCAAACTTAGCCTTTGTTGGGTTCCTTAGAATCACGTAGAGGAAACAAAGGTGAATTTGCATCAGACGCACTTGTTTTCAATCCATCTTTAAGACAAGGGTTTCTTCTTTTGCACTTTAAAAGAAAATAAAATAAAACGAAACAAGCTTCTCATGGGTTCGATTGATGGATGCTGACGGGCCGACAGGCAGCGTGGCTAAA